AAAAAATTAATTTCTGACATTTATAATTTCAAGTGAAAACGAAAATTTAAATTTAATATTTTTAAAATATTTTTTAACAGACATTATTAATATTATTAATATTTGAATTAAATATTAAATAAATAAATAAATGTTAAATATAAATGTAAAAATAAATATAAAATGTTAAAGTAAAAGAAGAAAACTTAAAAGAAAAAAGAAAACAAAAAAAGGAAATAAGAAGAAAAAAGAAAACTAAATAGCAAAAAAGATATCTTAAATTTCAAGTGAATTTATACGAAAGAAAATAATAAGTGTCCCTCTAAAAGTAAAATATATTCTGGATCATCATTCTCGTCGTGGCAAAAACGGTTTTTCCGTATGTAATACTTAAAAAAAAATAAGAAGAAAAAAAAATGGCGTATATAGTGTCTTTCTCTCTTGTGAGCAAAGCATTCTTCGCATGACACAACACACATTGAGAGCGTTTATTTTTATTTTCATCGTAACCACGATTACCTCTCTGGCATGACGGTCGAACAAGCATGAAAAAGCCAGTAGACTAATAAAAAAATCAATATCTAAAAGACCCCACCCAACACGCGATATTTTATTATATATGCATATATATGTCATTTCTCACTAATGAGCTAAACTTCTTCAAATATTCTCATATTCGACATTTCTCTATATTTATAAACAGAAAATTTCATTTCAATTCATTCTATTCCAAAAATACTCAAATCATTTGTCACATATATATGCTTCTAATAAGAAAATTTATTTCGACAAAAAAGAAAAATTTTTCCTATAATATTTCCATTCTCTCTAAATCGGTAAAAAAATTCCCTCTGGCAAAATTTTACATTCTATTTTTTGAATTAGATTTTTTTTTTAATCATTTTTGTTTACAATCAATCAAAATTTTTCCTAATTTTTCCATTCTCTCTGAATCGTTAAAAAATTCCCTCTGGTAAAATTTTACATTTTATTTTTTCAATTAGATTTTTTTAACTTTTTATTTTAAAACAATCGATCAAAATTTTTTCTAATTTTTCCATTCTCTCTGAATCGTTAAAAAATTCCCTCTGGTAAAATTTTACATTTTATTTTTTTGAATTAGATTTTTTTAATCGTTTTCGTTCGTAATCAATCAAAATCCACTAATTTTTCCATTCTCTTTGAATCAATAAAAAATTCCCTCTAGCATTTTATATTTTGAAATAGATTTTTTTAAAATCTTTTTTATTTACAATCAATTTGTTTAGAATTTAATTAATATTTATTACAATTTTCCACGATAATGATCTTATGAAAAAATTTTCCAAAAATGTGAAAAATCGACAATTTTATAACGTAAAGTCAACAATTTAGAGAAAAAAAATACTTTTGTATTCAAATTTGTTTATATTTATCTGAAAAAATTTTTAGCAACAGTTTTTTGAAGCACAATTTAAAAAAGAGACAAATACAAACTATTTTATGAATTTTTTGTATTTTTGTGCCTTGTATTTTTTTGTATTTTCGCATTTTGTATTTTTTTTGTTTTTATTTTTGAAAATTTGGATTTTTTTTTGTGTATTCTTGGTATTTTTTTGTTTGTATTTGTATGACAAGAAATTTTATTAATTTTTTTGTATTTTGTTTTTCGTATTTCTGTATTTTGTATCTTCATTTGCATTTTTTTGTATTTTTTATTTCAATTTTTGTATATTTCGTGTGTTTGTATGTATTCTTTGTAGTTTTTTTATTTGTATTGTTGTTCGTATTTGTATTAAAAACCAAAATAAAAAATTTCCCTAGTGGAAAATATTTTTTTTTCAGTCGTTAAAATTATAATCCGTTGTTAATTTTTTTTTTAATTTAAAATTTTTCGTTCAACTATACAAACAAAAAAGTACAAAAATACAAAGAATACATAAAAAAAAATACATAAAAACACAAAAATACAAATAATAGAAACATAAAAATAAAAAAAAAGTATAAAAAAAAGAAAATACAAAAAAACAAAAATTCAAAAGACGAAAATATAAAAACGAAAGTACAAAATTAAAAAACAAAAATATAAAAAATATACAAATAGACCATTGTTAAATAAATAAATAAATAGAGTAGCAAAATTGTAGTAAAAAGATGAGAAAAAAATGTTTAACCCACAGTACCATTCATAATCAATATAAAAAAAATCTCACTATAAAATAAAAAATAATTTTATCTGGAATATTTTTCAACTCCAAAATAATAATGAGAATGAACAAGTAATGTGTGAAATGTATATATTTTAGGAGAAATCCCGTCGAGAAATCAACATTGCGGATGATCATGTGATCGAACAGTTATACATATACTGTTAAGGGGATGGGGGAAGGGTTACGGAAACTTAATAAGGATCGAAGAATTATAACTGTAAAATGTAAATTCACGTATATATAAACACAATTCCTAACGATTTTATAATTCAAAAGAATTTGCCAATATAATAAAAAAAAGAAAAAAAAAATTAAATCCAACTTTGCAGAAAATATTTTGCTGAATTGATTTTAATAAATATTTTATTCACTTATTTATTTTATTTTATACTATAATGAAAAAGAAAATAAAATTATTAACTCAATTTCTAGAATGAATTGAAAGAAAAAAAAACCACTTGAATTATAAAGTGCAAATGCAGTTGCTATTTGAAATGTGTTTGATATCAAATGCAACAGGTACTTAGGAGTTTATAGCATTGTAAAGAGTGAGCAGAATTTATTATTGCTAATTTCAAATACCTGATTTAATCTTTAAAATTTATTATTGTTGTACTTTTACTTTTTGTGAGTTCCGCATTTTTTTTTTTTAACAAAAGGAAAATTTATTTCATTTTTTCAATTCATTTATTTAATATTGAATACTAAACTAGGTTATTTTTATTTTTTTTATAAAAAATTATTAATTTTATAATAAATAATTATAGAAAATTATTTTAATAAAAAAACATTAATATTAAATATTAATAATTAATATTTAATTGATAATAATAATATTTATTAATATTATTTAATTAATAATAAATAAATAATATTTATTAATATTATGTAATTAATTATAAATAAATAATATTAAAAATTATTAATTTAATAAAAAAAAAAAATTTATCGTAGAAAATAAATAAGCTCGAATTAATTTCTCTGTTAGGTAGAAATTTTCTGTTTCGATCAAGGCGAGCAGAAATTTCGAAAATCGAACGTCATCTATGTGCGCTAATCGTAAATTACATGCGCAAAGTTGGTTAGTTGTTATCTGTATAAAAATATCAATTTACAAGTACACGTGTAAGGAATGAATGGCAAATAAGCGATAATCGTGTAGTTATATCTATGTTTATGTAATCGACTGTAAACTGGAAACATTTTTCTAAAATCCAATGCGAAATTGACTATAAATGGTAAAATAATATAATAAATAAAAAGCAAACAAATTTTCTAATTAAATATATAATAATAAATGGAAAGTAATTTACTTTTACTAATACATAGTCAGTATTTTACTGTATTTTTTTTTGTAGAATACTATGAAGAAGTATAACTCGATTGTGAGAAAGAAAGTGTACATAACCTATGAGATAAAAATCTGTTCATTTTTACCCCCTTTTTCGGCGAATAGAGTAATTTTTACCACACTTTGATAGTAAAATTTAAACTGGCTGGAATTTTTATACACATTTCTTCTGCGTATTTATTTTGTTAATTTTTTTTTTTTATTTATTTCTTTCTGCGTATTTTATTTCTTCTGAGTATTTATTTTCATTTTTTTATTTATTTATTTCTGCGTATTTTATTTCTTCAGATATTTATTTACTGCTGAATAAATTCATATAGCAATAATTTACTAATAAATATGTTATTTACCAATGTTTGTTTACTTATTTATTTACTTAATTACTATACTGAAAGTAAATTTTTACTATTTTTCTTAAATTTACTTCGGTAATAGTAAAAATTTACTTATTTTTACTTAATTACTATACTGAAAGTAAATTTTTATTATTTTTTAAATTTACTTCGGTAATAGTAAAAATAATTTGCTGTGCATATAATAAAACATTTTTAAATTAAAAATTTAAGTACGTTCGATGTAAAGTTTACTCTTTTTTTTACTAAAATAATAATAATAATAATAATTTAATTGAATAGTTTTAAATTAAAAATGTAAATTAACTACATTCGAAGTCAATTTTACTTTTTTTTTTACTAAACTTTACTTCGGGAATAAAAGAAATTTAATTCGATAATAGTAAAATTTATTTTGAAAATAGTAAATAAATAAATAATACAATAAGTGGGTAAATTTTAGTAAAATTATTTTTGGAGTAAATTTTATTAATACCGAAGTAAATTTGTTTTTAAAAAATAAGTAAAATTTACTTCGGCAATAGTAAAATTTATTTTTTTGATATAATATAATATTGAACATTTTTAAATTCAAAATTTAATTAACTGCAGTTGAAGTTAAGTTTACTTTCTTTTGCTAAAATTTACTTCGGAAATAATATAAATTTAATTCGCCAATAGTAAAATTCACATCGGAAGTAGTAAATAAACAAATAAACAAACAACATAATAATTTAGCAAATTTTAGTAAAATTCACTTTGGGTAAATTTTATTAAGGCCGAAGTAAATTTTATTTTTAAAAAGTGAGTAAAATTTACTTCGAGCATAGTAAAATTTCCTTTCCAGAAGTAGTAAAAATTCCAAATAAATACTTAATTTTTTACAGAGAAATTTCTCTCTTTTTACGTAAAGTTACTGATAATTACTATATAAAAACTGATAAAATATAGAATTTTCTCTAGAATTAAATTAAATTAAATACTTTCGTTTAAATAATCTAATATTACATAAAATAACTTAAATTAAATTAATTAATGTAATTAATTAAATTTAATTAATTAATTTAATTATCAAATTAAATTTTTAATTATTAATTATTAATTAATTAGTTTATTAAATAAATTAAAATTTCTCGTTTTTTTTTACAGAAAAACGACAAGATGACGATTATATGGGCGGATTTAGTGCACAGTTACAAGGATCTTATGGACAACAGGTCCGGTAAGTAAATTTTTTCAATTTACTTGACGTGAGACGTAATTTCGATAAGTATATATACCGGTAGGAAGTTAAATAACTGTGTATATTAGGTACACTTGACCGCCTTTTACGAGTCACATATACATATAAGTCTATATAGAGTTAATAAGATTCCTTAAAATTCGCGTCATCTTTTTAAAATTTTTTTACATACGGATAACACTTATATTTACCAAATGTATTTTCGCTATTATTATTTATATATGTGCAGTTATTATTGATATTTCAAAAATTTATAATTTCAAAATATACACATTATTTTACTTGGAGATAAATATTCATTATGCGTTACTTACCAAGAAGAAGAAGAAGAAGTTTTTGGAAATATTATTTTGCACCTCTGCTCTTTCATCTGAAAAAAAAAATTGTTACAAAATTTATTTATTTGCTTTAATGAGATTTTGAATATTTATTAAATTGAAAAAATTTAATTGAATATAAATATACTCAAGGAACAATTGACGCAACAAAATTAAGAATATTTTTTATTTATTTAAAACATTTAAAATATTTAAAAAATAAATTTATATTTTTTAAAATTTTATTAACTTTTTTATACGTCTCTAGTGACGCTAACCGCGCCACTATTTTCTGGACTGAAAATACATATTTTTATTGACAACCAGAAAATAAAGAAATACCACAAATTTATTTTTTTCTTCTTCTTAATGCTTCGAGTGAAATAATGCGAATTTTTTAATACCTTTTCTTGTCGTCAGTGATAGATATAAAAATTAATTAGATATTAATCAATCGGATTTAATTCTCAAAAAAAAAAGTATTTTATTGCTTACGGCATTTCAATAAGTGATAAAAAAGTATCCTAATGTTTATAATTTTCTACTTAATAAAGCTTATTAGCATAATGTAAAGTGGGAATGTTTTTTCTTTTGCATTATAAATTACAATCAAAAGCAAATTATAAAAATTTATTTATGAAAAAAAAGTATAATAAAAATTTTATTATCCTAGAAATTGAAATTTATTAAACACTGCAATGAAATATTTGTTGTTGACGTTATTTATTGAATATTATCTAATAAAAACGTAATCGTGGAAAATTATTTAATACTTTGTTTGAAGAAAAAAATCCCCAAGCAATATTATTATAATTTTTGTAATTTTAATTCGATTTATATTAATTATGATTTAATTATCTCTGAAATATTTTATTGGAAAGACTTATTCAGTAAACTGCTTTTTAGGAGTTTTTGCCTCGGTTTTTGCTAAATTATTTTCAATAATTAAAATTAAAACTAATAATTAATTAAATAATTATTATTAATATTTATTTTATTCCATGTATGTATACCTAGAAGATTTTTACATTTTTCCCCAGCTGGTAAATTATTATTAATAATAACAATAAAATTAATAATAATTTCAATGCACAATTAATAAAAATTGGCTAAAAAAAACTTGTAAAATTAAAAATTCTTCGTTTGCAAGTTTGGCGAATTTTTATCCAAATTTTCAGTCTATTGATTATCGACCTTATTTTTGAGGTTAAACTCGCACTTGACCTATTGTTGACCTACAACTTGCAGTGTCTTTTTTCAACTCATTTTCTGCTTCTTTTAATTTCTTCTATTTTTCTCCTTTGGTCTTATAAATTTTGACTTAAATTTTGACCTAAATTTTAACGTTACTTTAACTCTTGATCTATAAAATTTTAACCAAATCTCTCAAGGTTATATAAACATCTGACGGTCTACCAAAAATATTCAATTGGAAAAAAATAATTCACAACCGATTATTATTACTATTAATATTATTAGTATCTTCTTTCTATTTTTCTTTCGTCGGCTAATAAATTTTGACTTAAATTTTGACTTAAATGTTGACCTAAATTTTGACCTAAATTTTAAAGCTATACTTTCACTCTCAATCAGTAAAATTTCAATCAAAACTTTTAATGTTATGTTCGCCATTAAATTAAGACAAAAATTTTAAATGAAACCAAAAAAAAATTTAGTTTAAAAATTAATATTACTTTAATAATCAATTAATTTCAGTTTAATACATTAATAAATAATTCAAAATCGATAATTATTATTAACAGTAGCAACAATTCGCGCGCTAAAGCGAAGCGAACGGCTAACTTTTTAGCGTAACATTAGCAATTTTAAAAATAATAGAATTTAAAAATTTGTAATTCAAATTTTTGTTCAAAACACTAAAAAAAATCAAATTTCGGAAAAATTACAAATAATTGGAGAAATTCAATTATTTTCAAGAGTGATAAAATTCTTCTTATAAAATTCAATTATCTTTCAAATTTAAAAAATAGTACGCAAACATTTAATTATTTTCATAAATAATAAAAATTTCTCAGGAATTCAATTCATCTTTAATTATTATAAAACATTCTTACAAGTTATTGAATTTAAAAAGATTTGAATTTGAATGTTTTGAAAAATTTTAATTCCTACGGAAAAATAATATTTAAATATTTATTTAAAAAAGAGTTATTGATGTTTTCGAATAATTTTGCAATTAAAGAAATTCTTAAATAAATGTAACAGAACATTTTTTTGAGTAAAATTTTTTCCTTTATTTTCTAAAAATTTAAAAAGTTTCAATTTCATTTGTCAATTAAAATTTGTAATTGACAAATAGAATAGAATGAGTAATGTTTCTTTTCCAAAAGGAAAGAATGAGTTTCTGAACAATATTTTTATTGAAAAATATAAATTATGCATAAAATATTTCCTATTTCTAAATTATAATTTTTTAAAAATTAACAATTTTCTCATATTTTTTATAAATAAAAAGGAGAAAAATTTGCATAATTTAGAAAGAGTCAAACGAAATTTGTTATAGAAAAAAGCATACACGGAGAGAGAATATATATTAAATTTTGTAAAAATATTTTCAAATTGGGGAAAAAGTGCGACAAAGCGAAATTTTGATATCAAAAAATACTAAACTTTAAAAAAACTTATATGAAATTTAGTATAATTATATTAGAATTTAATTAATATTCTTGATATTTGATATAATTATACTAAATTTCACATAAGTTTTTTTAAAGTTTAGTATTTTTTGATATCAAAATTTCGCTTTGTCGCACTTTTTCCCCAATTTGAAAATATTTTTACAAAATTTAATATATATTCTCTCTCCGTGTATAATAAACAAAATTTATTTGTTAATTATAATTTTTTTATATTTTCTAATTTCAAATATTGTTTTATTATAAATCATGAAAAAATACCTGCATTTTTTCGATCTGTCAAACAATATTTAAAAAAAAAAAAAAAAAAAAAAAACCAAAAGCATACACAAAAACTAACTTTAAAGTGTGGACAGACAGAATGAAAGAATTAAATACGAAGATTATTATAGTTAATTAAAAATATTTAATACAAATATAGTTCCGAATTATTTTCTATCAAACTATCTGAAAATTACTTCTTTTTCTTTCTTTTGAAATTAAAAAAATGATAAAGTTCGCTGTTCAATCTTCGTCTCTTTCTCTCTCTCTATATATATTTTTTGAAAAAGAAGATGAAGAAGAAGAAGGAAAAAAGTATGTCGACATTGCTGTTAAATTTCAGTGAAGTTCATGAGAGAGCGCGTCAATCTAGCCTCTCGAGTCACTCTTTTTTCTCCTTTTTTTGTTGGGATACAATGGTGTAATTAGGAACATCGCTTGCGAAGATAGTGAACAATGGCTAATACCACAATGCGAAGCTTGAAGCTACTGACGACCCGAATCAAGTGATGTCGAGAGATAAACAACGACTTTCTTTCCCCAAAACTTCAACCCTTTTCAATTGTCTCGAGAGTTTCTTGGAGCATCCTGAATCAGGTCTCTCTCTTCCTCTCTCTCTTTATGTATTGTAAAATCTCTCCTAAATTAAACAAGAACCAACATGACTATATCTATTGTTTGTCATTTCGATTTTTCAATTTTGGAAAATGACAAAATACAAAAAAAAAAGAAAAGAAAGAAACAATAAAATAAAAATAAATAGTGAAAATTAACGATCACTCCGAGTCAAGGAAAATAAAATAAAAGAAATTCAATTCTTTTTACGTTTCGGAAGCACAGCTGTCCTCTTCAGAACGAAAAAAAGAAAATTAGAAAAATTAAAATTATAAATTAAGATAGGTACATCTTTGTCGCTACGATTACAAAATGACAAATAAAATAAAAATATTAATTTTTTTACAACTAGAGAATTATTTTATTTGTACCAAATATAATAATAAATAAATAAAATAAACAAAAAAGATAAATAAATAAATAAAATTTATTTATTTTTATTTATTTCTGAGATTATTTATTGTTACTTAGTATATTATTATTTATTTGTTTTAACTAAAAAATTTTTTCGACACAAATAAAATTTTTATTTGAAACAAATTCTAAATATTCAAATAAACGAAATTTTTTATCAACATTAATATTTTCAAAATCTGTACTGACTATTATAAAATGCAAAAACAAAACTAAAATAATTTATTTTTTTTAACGTGACGCAATTAGTAAAAAAATTTTATAAACCTTGAAAAAACCTGGAAAAGTCAAGGAATTTTGATCGAAATCCTGGAAAATTGTTGTTTTCTAAAGTTATTGTGCTTATTCTTAAAATCTGATTTCACTTAAATATTTCATAAATAATTACATTTTAAAAGAGTTGCGTTTACAATTTTCATAAATAGATAAACTTCAAAAGGTTGTAATTTGAAATTTTGTAAAATTTCAATTTTCAATGAATTTAATGAAAAAAAATATTTTTAAAAAGATTAAGAATTCAAATTCTTCTGAAATTAGTTAAATTTTTTAATATATATTTAATTGATTATTAAAAATATGTAATGGATTTACAGAAGAATTTTACTTAAAAACACTAAAAGAAATTGAATTTTAAAGCAATTACAAATGATTGCAGAAATTCAATTATTTTCAAAAGTAGTAAAATTTGTCTCAGAAATTCAATTATTTTTAAAAATTTTAATAAAATTCTTGGCAAAATTTCAATTATTTTTAAAAACTTTCTTCAATTTAATGATTTATATCTACTATACTTTAATAAAATTTCACAAAAGAATTCAATTATTTAAAATAAAATTCTACGCAAACATTTAATTATTTTCATAAATAATAAAATTCTTTTTTGAATTCAATTATTTTTATAAATAATAAAACTCATCGCAGACTTTCAACTTTTTTTAATAGAATTTTAATGGAATTCCAAGAAAAATGTAATTATTTTTAAAAATTTTATTGAAATTAATCAAAGAAATTCAATTATTTTAAAAAGCTCTTTGCTATAATTTATTTATTAGAATTTAATTATTATTGGCAATAAATTTTTAATTAAATTTCTTGAAAGAATTAAGTTATTTTCAAAAATTTTAATTAAATTCTTTGTAACAATTCAATTTTTTTCAAAAGTAATATATAATTCTTCACAAAAATTCAATTATATTAAAAAATTTTAATTATCTTTATAAATAATAAAATTTTTTTCCAAAACTCAATTATTTACAAAAATTTTAATAAAATGACTCCTAAAATTTTTATTATTTTTAAAATCTTTCCTCAATTCAATGATTTTTAATTACTTTAATAAAATTTCCCAAAAGAATTGGATTATTTAAAAAAAAATTTAATAAAATTTCTCGAAAAATGAAATTATTCTTAAAAATTTGTTGATAAAATTCTTTATGAAAATTTATATTTTAAGAAACATTTAATTATTTAATAAAATATTTATTTTTGTATTAAAATAATTGAATTCTCGTAGACTTTTTTTATTAAAATATTAATTTAAAAATGAAATTTAGTTAAATATTGAGATTATTATTGAATATTGAAAGCATTAAAGCGTGAATTTTTAGAAATACTTAATTAAATTTTGAAAAGATTTCAAATTAAAATCTTTGAAAATTTGAATTTTTCATATTTTTAATTAATAATTCTGTGGAATAAATTTTTTTCACACAGTTTAATTGAATTTTTTTTTCAATTCTTTCAAGTTCTTATTTATTTCTAATAATATATATTAATTGAAGAATTTTCGAATAATCGAAATTTCGTAAAATTGAATTGTAAACAAATGGATTTGAAAATTCTCAAAGAACTTTTTAAAAAATTATTTTTAAAAAACTTGTATGTTATTGAATTTAAAATTTTTGAAAATCTTAATTTCTATGAAAAAATAATAATGTTTAAATATTTATTTAAAAATAAAGTTATTGATGTTTTCAAATAATTTTACTTTCGAAGAAATTTGTAAATAAATTTGTAGTTTAAAAATCCTGGAAAAATTCCGTTTTTCAACCTGAAAAACCTGGAAAAGTCAGGGAATTTAAATATATAGTTTTTTCTGTGTGTAACTTCAGAAAGATAGATAAATAAAATGATAAAAAAAAATTGCAAAAAATAAATAAATAGAAAAAATTCCCAAAAGTTCAATGAAGTAGAGAAAAAATTGAATGAAAATTAAAAAAAAATTGAATGAAATAAAGTTTGTAAAAATAGAAAATTATTTGATTGCAGATCCCAGGGTGAATAGTTGGGCTATGATGAACAGTCCATTTCCAACAATGGCTATTTGTCTATCGTACGCTTATTTCAGTAAAGTCGTAGGACCGAGACTGATGGAAAATAGAAAGCCCTTCGATCTACGAAGGATATTAATTTTCTACAACCTCGTACAGACTTTGTTCTCCTCATGGATATTTTACGAGGTAAGTTTCTTCACAATTTACTTTTTCATCATTTTCTTTTGTTATTGTTTATTATTTTTTTCTTTGGTAATTTATTATATTTTTGTTGCTTTTATTTTTTCTTTCGTTCATTATTATTTTTTTCAATTAAATTTTTTAGTTTTCTATCGTTATTATTAATTTTTTATTTTTGTATGTTTTTTCAATTTTAGAGACAAAAAGGAAAATCCAATTATGTGTGAAATGTATATATACCCAGTTCAATTTGTACAAATTTTCACCTGAATTGTAAATAATTTTTTTTTTCTGACGTTATAGAATATATAAATAGTATAAATTAACAATGTGATGTCAATTGTAAATTTTGCATTTTAATTTTTAATTTTTACTTTGCTATTTATGTCCATAAAGTTCAAAATGCTTAAATGAAAAATTTTTTTTTTCCAAAATTAATTTTATTTGAATTTAAATAGTATTGCATTATATAAAAAACAATTTATAAAGTTCCAAAATGTTTCATTTATTAATTTATTTTTAATTTATTTCCTATTTTAATTCTTATCCTAGTCAGAGTAATTTTTAGAAATATTTCGCTCATTTGAAAAAAAAATATTATTTTTAATTTTATTATAACAAGTTTAGAAAATATTTTTTAAAAAAATATTCATTCTTTAAAACGTTCAAAACTTTAGAAAAAATTTGTAAATAAATTTATTTATGTAAAATTTATACAAAAATATTATTTTCAATTTTATTTTAACAATTTTTGAAACTATGTAAAAAGCAAAAAATATATTCGTTCTTTTAAACATTCAAAACTTTAGGAAAAATTTATAAATTTGAAATTATAATTTATAAACTTTACATTGTAATCTAAAAATTCGACATTATTATCTCGTAAATTTACATTGCAATTTATAAATTTAATTTTGTTACAAAAAAAAAATTTGAAATTATAATTTTCAGAATTTTACATTGTAAATTAAAAGACTCAAATTGTATAATAATAGGATTATTAATTGAAAGTAATTTACATTATGTAAATTAAAATAATTTCTGCTTTAATTATACAAACCGAAATTATCTCAAATAATGTGAGTTAATTGGCTAAATTAAGTGTTAATTACCATAATTATTTAAATCAGTGTAAAAGTCTTAATTAATTTGAAATAAACTTTTAAATTCATTTCTTTTGTTCATTTTTTTTTTGTTTTTTATTTTAAAAAAAATCACGAGTAAAAATTAAAAACGAAAGAGCAAATTGTAAGAACTTTCGAGTTGTTTAACACTTTCAAATTTTAAATACAAGCTCAGTTTTCTCTACGTGCATTAACCGTAGATGGAGAGGCACCTGTTCGCGAGTAAATATTCGCGTTGATGACCCATAACACAATGGGACCGGTATTTAGAGCGCATTCGATACGTGATTAGTATGTCGTGCATGTAAAACATTACAGTTACGATTTTTTTTTCATTTAAAAAAGCACTTTTTTTTATCTTATTTACCTTTCAGTTAATAATAATTTTTTTAATTAATAGAAATCATGTATTTGAAAATTACACCCAGAGGGAAATATTTTTTTCAACTAAATATAATTTAATTTGAAACAAATATAATTTACTTGAAACAAATAAAAAAATTTTTTTGTCTCAGAGCAAATTATTTGTTTTTCAATTAAAAAATAGAAACATTCTCTCTTTTATTTTTCCTACTAAAAAATAGAAGCATTCTCTCTTTTATTTTACCTACTAAAAAATAGAAGCATTCTCTCTTTTATTTTTGTTATTAAAAAATAGAAAAATTTTCTTTTCAATTTTTGTATTAAAATAAAAAAAAATTTCTACTTTTCGTATACTATATATATATATAGAGAGAGAGAGAGAGAAAATAAAAAATTATGCTAAAAATTGAAATTTTTTTATACCTTTTCCCTTAAACTAAAGTATCTTGTTAAATTCTGAAAAATATTCATGAATTCAAAAGCAAAGTGTGAAAAATATGGGAAAACGTACAAAGGACTCAGTGTCAGAGACATTTCTAAGCAAATTTTCCTAGACGACAAAATGAGACGACAACGACGACGACGACGACGATGAACGAACAAGTTCTTAACAAAGTTTCGAAAATCTTTAAATATTTAAGGGCACAGCAGGTGGCTTCAAATAAGTACCGCGTCTTTATGAATATTCAATATCGCACTGATTCTGTTAAAAAGGTCACACAATTTTGTTTGTACCAAAAAAAAAATTTAGGCCAATATTTAGGCATTTAATAGGTAATTAAAAAAGTTAAAATAATAAATAATAAAAATATAATTAAATTAAATAAAAAATCGAACCTAAATTTTAGAATTTGAAATTCAGGAACTTTGGTAGAGTTCACTAAGTCTATAACCAACTATTTAATTAAAAAAATATTTTTCTTTTCAAATTTTTAACTGAATTAATAATAATAATAAAATAATTTTACTTTTTTCTTTTTATAATTATTATCATTTAATTATTTAATTAGGTTTCTAATTACTTAGAATTCAATATAAACTGAAAAAATGTTTTTGATTCAAATAAACGATTATTACTTGTCTATTATCAAATAAATATTTTCATCAAATTATTTATTTGTGTTAAATAATCTTTATTCAAGAAAATTATTGTTTTCTAAAGTTATTAAGTTTATTCTTGAAATCTAATTTGACTTAAATATTTCAAAATTAATTCAATTTTAAAAGAGTTGCGTTTACAATTTTCATAAACAGGTGAACTTCAAAAGAATTTAATTTGAAATTTTAGAAAATTTCAATTTTGAATGAATTAATTAAATACTAAAAATTTCACAGGAATTCTATTATTTACAAATTTTTTTTTTATAAATTTCTTCGCAATAATTCAATTATTTTCATGAAGAATAATATTTTTTTACCAGGAATTCAATTATTTTCATATATAGGTTTTCAATTATTTTCATAAATAATAAAAATCATCGCAGGATTCCAATTTTTTTTAATACAATTTTAATGAAATTTCTCGAAAAATGTAATTATTCTTAAAAATTTTATTATAATTCATCAAAAAAAAATTCAATTATTTTAAAAAGCCTTCCTATAATTTATATATTATTTTCAAAAATTTTAATGAAATTCTTTTTAACAATTCAATTTTTTTTCAAAATAATTTTAATAAAATTCTTCGTAGAATTAAATTAATTTCAATAATTTATCAAAATTCAATTATTTTTAATATCTACGTATTTCAATAAAATTTCACAAAAGAATTCAACTATTTAAAAAGCAATATATCATTAAAATTCGTCTCAAGAATTCAATTATTTTCAAAAGTAATAAAATTCTTCACAGAAATTCAATTATGGTCAAAAGTTTAAAAACATTCTCGTCAAAATTTTAATTATCTTTAAAAATAATAAAATTATTCTTCAAAATTCAATTATTTTCGAAAAATTTAATGAAATTCTTGGCAAAATTTCAATTATTTTCAAAAACTTTTCTCAATTCAATCAAATTTTTTTTTACAGAGTTTCTATTATTTTTAATGCAATTTTAATCTAATTTCTTGAAAATGGAAATTATTCTTAAAAATTTTATTAAAATTCGTTAAAAGAATTTTAATTATTTAAAAATTTGTTGATAACATTCTTTATGTGAATTTAATTTTGAGAAACATTTAAGTATTCAATAAATTATTTATTTTTGTATTTAAATAATTGAATACTCTTAGAATTTTCTAATAAAAATTGATTTAAATATGAATTTCAGTTAAAAATTTAGATAATAATTGAATATTAAACTCTAAATTTTAATTAGTAAAAATGCTTTTTAATTTGAATTAGTGACTACCTTTTTGCTTTTGAATTAGCAAATTTTACCAATAAATAGTCGTTTTTACTAATTTAATAGTAAAATTTACTAATTCAAAAGCAAAAATTCAGTCACTAATTCCAAAATAGTAAACATTTTTACTAATTAAAATTTAAAGAGAAATTATTATAGCGTGAATTTTTAGAAATAATTGAATTTTGAAAAGGTTTCGAATTATAATCTCTGAAAGTTTGAATTTTTCATAATTTTAACTGAAAATTGTGTAGATTTAATTTTTTTAAAGTTTAATGGAACTTTTTTGAAATTATTTCAAGTTTCTATTTTCTAATAAATATTTAATTGAAGAATTTCCGAATAATCGATGAAATTTCGTAAAATTGGATTGTAAACAAAAGGATTTGAAAATTTTCAAAGATATTTTTCAAAAATTATTAAAAATGAATGAATAATTAATTTAAAGGAGAATTTTAGTTAAAAATTCTAGAGAAAATAATGGAATTGAAATGAGAATAATTTTTATGAAGTTACAGTAAGAATATTCTTATAAAATATAAAATAATGATTTTATCAGTCGGTCATCTTTAATTTATTATTATAAAACATGAAGATATCGATTGCTCCGAGTCGAAGACTCGGCGTGATCGATATCTTCATGTTTTATAATAATTTTTTGAAAATTGTTTAATTTCAAAAAGGTTTGAATTTGAATCTTTTGAAGAATTTTAATTCCTATCGAAAAATAATAATGATTTAATATTTATTCAAAAAAGAAGCAATGGAACATTTTTCTGAGTAATAATTTTTAAACTGATATTCTTTAGAGTCAAGAAGTAGGAATTTTGTCTGGAATTTAATTTTGTCAGGGAGAAACAAAATTAAATTTTTGTTGGCAACAAATGTAGTTTTAGAAACCTGTAAAAATTCCGTTTTTTTAACCTGGAAAACCTGGAAAAGTCAGGGAATTTAAAATGAGCAAAAGTGGCAACCCTGATTTTGAATCAAATTTGTATCAAATAATTTTTATTCAAATAAATAAAATAGTTTTTCTTGAAATAAAATAAATAAGTACTGTAAAATTTGGTTCAAAAAATATTGTGTTAAATACAATTTGTTTGATTCAAATATATAATTTATTTGAAGAAAGTAAATATTTATTTGATAACAGAAAAGTAATCGGTTATTTGAATCAAATTCATTCTTTTTAGTGCATTCATTGAACTTTTTGTAATTTTTTAAAATTTTTCTTCTCCGGTATTTATAATCGTAAAAATATTAATTTTTTTTTGTAAACTAGTGGAAAATGATGAAGATTGTAAAATTATGATCTGATATGAGTCAACAGATAATAATCACTCTGAATTGGAATTTATCTATATATTACAAGAGAAATACAAATATTACACTCTCTCGAAATAATAAAAAAAGGAAAAAATACAATTTTTCCCAGAATACACGATATAAACTTGTATAAAAAAAATTGCAAAGTTTACTTTGTAAAAACACAAGATATTTCATTCAAATAGTGAAGCAAATCGCCTATACCATTAAAAAGAGGAAGAAGAAAAAATTATACGACACCATTTACTTTCTCACTTCATATTTATATATTAAGCAAACATTTAATTCACTTTTATATTTATATGAATATTAAGTAAATAAATATTTAATGTCTCTCACGCCAAATAAACAGAACACTGTTTTTTTTTCTGGTCATATTAATTTTTTTTTCAAGAAAAAAAAATAGGAAAAAAAAATTCATATATTTCGAAATCATCAATTGACGCCTCTATTAATTATAAATTCAAATTTAAGAGATGCTCACTATATTGGTAAATATCGAAAAAAGGAAATGACTTCTCTAAAAAATTGCAAACCTTTGTGACGTGAATTCTTTGAATGTGAGATGCTCGTTATACGGAGATTTTCTAGACGATAAATAAACGTCACAAGTTTGTCCAAACAGTCCGACAGAAAGATAAAAGGAAGTGCGTGGAATATCCTTATTCATACTCATAAATATATATTAGTGTTTTTTTTTCTTCTCCTTATTTTAAATGCGTTTTAAGAATTTTGCAAAAGTACACAAAACTCAAGTGTTAATATTCATAAAACGTTTTTTTTTCAATAAAGGGTTCTTCTCTTACAACTTCTAAAAACACTTTATAAGGTTTATTAATAATTAATTCAAATCTTTCGAGTATTTTAAAAATACTGTTAAATGCTACTCGATTCTATATTATTTTTCACTTTTTTTAAAAATTCATGAATATTTTTAAATTTACTCTAATATTATAAGCGGGTGATTGTTTACCTACTCGTTTCTTGTACCAACTTCCATGTTTCATAAATAAAAGTTTTTTAATGTTTTTAATTTTTTTTCTCTGCTGATTTTCGAACCATTTTAGGTAAAAATTATAAATTCACAAAAACTATGTAAATAAACAAATAAATAAATAATTTAAATTAGTATTTTAAATTAAATAATTAAATACCTAAATAATTAGTATTTTTTTTAGAATAGAATAGAATTTGTTACTTGATGCTACAAATTTTGTTTTACATCTCTTACAGCCTTAAACCTCTAGATGAGAAAAGTAATAATTTTATTAAAAAATATTTTATATTTAATTTTTTTCTCTTAAGTATTAAGTTTTGTTGTTAAACTTTTGACCTGAATTTTTATCCCTTTTTAGTTTTGGTCAATAAATTTAAACCTGAATTTTATTATTTTGGAGAAATTACAAATAATAAAATTGCAGAAATTCAATTATTTTCAAAAAAAAAAAATAAAATTCTTTTAAAATTCAATTATGTTCAAAATTTGAAAAAAATTCTCGTAAAAATCCCAATTATCTTTATAAATAACAAAATTCTTCTCCAAAGTTCAATTATTTTCAAAAATTTCAAAAAAATTCTTCTCCTAATTTCAATTATTTTCAAAAAATTTTCTAATTTTCAAAGATTTTCAATACCTATTATTTTAATCAAATTTCCCAAAAAGAATTTAATTATTTAAAAATTTTTTAAATAAAATTGTATGCAAACATTTAAGTATTTTCATAAATAATAAAAATTTCACAGGAATTCAATTATTATTTTCATGAAAAATAATTTAAAATTCTAGAAAATTAGAAATTACAGTAACAATATTTTTATAATATAAAATAATGATTTTATCTCTCGGGCCTTAAGTTTGACAAATTATGTAAAAAAAAATTCAAAAATATTTAAATTGCATCAAATTTTAGAAATTTTGACCAGAAATTAAAAGTAATTGTCGTTGCTGATTTTATTGGTCTAAATTTTGACCAATTGTGAGACAAAAAACCTAGAAATATTAAAATTGTGTCGAATTGCGCAAACTTTGACCTAAAATTGAAAACAATTCTCGCTGCTGACCTGTATTGACCTAAATTTTGACCAATTGTGAACCAGATAATCTAGAAATAATATCTAAAATTGTATCAAATTTTATGATTTTTCACCTAGAGTTGAAAGTAATTTTCCTTTCCGACCTATTTAGACCTTAATTTTAACAAATTATGTTAAAAAAAATTCAAAAATATAGAAATTGTATCGAATTTTGTTACTTTTGACCTGAAATTTAAAGTAATTGTCGCTGTTGACCTAATTGACTTAAATTTTGACTAATGTTCCTAAAACCCAGAAATATTATAATTGCTTCGAATTTTGCAAAGTTTGTTTGACCTAAAATTGGAAGTAATTGTCCCTTTTGACCTGAATTGACCTAAATTTTGACCAAACACATACCCTGAAAATCTAGAAATATAAAAGTTTTACCATTTAATTTCGCAAACTTTTACCTAAAATTGGAAGTAATTGTCACCTCTTATTTAATTATTATTTACTGATTTATTTATTTAAATGTCAGACCTTTATTGACCTAAATTTTGACCAAATATAAGCCAGAAAATTCAAAAATTTTAAAAATGTACCATAGAATTTTGTCATTCTCTTTTTGTTTTCTGTGTATCTTCTGATTTATAAATGCAAATTTGGTGTTCGTTACGAGCGGGAATAAATTTTTGTAGTTAAATTAAATCACAATGGGTAATTGAATTTAAATAAGATATTTTAATTAAACCAATTAGGCTTTTGATTAAATCAGTATAGAAAGAATTTCATTGAGAAATAATTGAATGCTATTACTACTGTTTCTCAATGATAAATATCCAATACAATTTTACTTGATACGAAAACGATTGACACCTTGACTTCATTAAAATATTTAAAGTTGAAGGCAATTTAAATTTTTAATTGAAATGAAATAATTTGACAAATCAACTCGTTCACATAATTTTCTCTGTGGGCAAAGGTGAAGTAATTAACTTTTACGAAAAAAAAAATTATCAATTAGTGTCGTCATTAAGTAATAAAACAATTTTTTTTCTTTAAAATTTTTTAAATATTGTTCAACGTCAATAATATAATTAACATGTTTTATTATAATTAATGTCTTCATTATTAAGATTTTAGTTTCAGTGAATTAATTTCTATCTAATATTTTCTTTTATTATTTTTATTATCTATTATTATTTATTACTTTTTTATTTATTAATTATTATTCTTTAAAAGTTAAATAAAGGAAAATGATTTATTTTTGTTATTATCATTTATTATTTTATTAATTCTTATTTATAACTCATTATTCTTCAATAGTTTCAGAAAGGAAAATTATTAATTTTTATTTAAATTTAAATAAATATTAAAAATAAAAATAATGTAGTCTTCGAAAGTGGGTATTCGATTCATTAATTTAATAAATATGGCAAAAATTTTAAAGAGTGAAAAATATTTAGAGAAAATAGAAATATTCTATTAATTTATTTATTATTTACTTATAAATATTATATTATAAAATTAATATATAATAATAATTTAATAAGTATAATTTAAAAAAAAATTTGAATTGGATTAAAATCAGAAGAAAACTATTAGAAATATTTCGAGAAGTAAAATTCCCATTTAACAAACTGTGATGAAGAAATTTTTAATTTAAATTATTACAACTAATCATTTAATTGTACAATGAAATGAAAGATTTTTCAAAATAAAAAAATTATGAATATTTCAGTACTTAATGAGCGGCTGGGCGAAAGGCTACAGTTTGCGATGTCAACCAGTCGATTACTCAAATAATCCTTTAGCTGTTAGAATGGCGAACACGTGTTGGTGGTATTACTTTAGCAAGTTCACCGAATTTTTCGACACGGTAAGCATTATAATTTATTCATAATTTAAAAATACGTATATACATAATATTTCATTTCGGATATAGAATAAAATAACAACCCATAACTCTCGTACAGTAACAACAAAAGTAAATATATGTGAAATAAAATTGACGTCAGGGAAAGTTATTTGCTTTTTAAATGGTTTTTCAATTTCACATACATGTATATGCTATTTAATATTTTAATTTTCTAAATTTCATAATATTTGAAAATCAAATATTTTTATGTTTAATCTCTTCTTTTAGTGTATTTTTTTATTTTTTCCCTAAATTCCTAAATTTTGACATATTTTTCAACTATGCTGGTTCAAAAATATTAAAATGTTTTTTCAAAAAAAAATTTGTTTCTCCGTATTAGCTTTTGAAAAAATATTTATAAAATGAGAATGTAAAAAAGTGTTGCGAAAATATGTACAAATATTTTTACTTTTCAAAAAAATGAGATAAAAAAATTTATTTACAAAACAGTTGCAAATATTTTCTTTCTATTAAAATTTGAAAATAGAAAAAAGGGGAAAAAATATTTAAATTGTGAATTTTTTTTTTTTTTTTTTTTTTAATAAACACGGGATTTTAATATATCCGACGAAAGAAAAATTCATCTATGATGCAATATATTGAAAATATGAAAGTGAGTCTAAAATTATTTGCGAAAAGGATTCCGTAGACGAGGATTTCGAGATCGTTATTGAACGTTTGAACAGAAAGTTCGAAAGTTTGCTTCCTCAAGGTTTAGCTCAAGGATCACAAGGTTTACCCTGACCGCTGATTACTACTACAACACGGATAGCATTCCATTTCCTGAAGGAATAAAAAACTGATGCTTATAGAGCAGAAAATTTCAAAATTGATTAAAAAAAAAAAAATCAGAAATTTCGTTTTTCAACCAATTGAAATTTTTTTTTCCCAAATCAATTTTTTTTTACTCCAATTATCGTCATTTTGATTTTCAAATTTAAAACAAGTTATTGGTAATTTTTCATTAAATTTATCGACTAAATCAATTCGATTGACTAATTCGGTTGAAGAAAATTTGTCTGGCAAAAATAAATTCTAGTTAACCGGAATTAAAAATTTTAGTAAAAATAAAAATGTTTAAAAATGATATTATTCAAAATAAATGTAAACTACAATTGCTAAAAATTAGAATAAAACTGAAAAACTGGGAATTTATTCAAAATCATCAAAAGTTTAAATTTTAGTAAATAATAATTATTCAAAATTATATTATTAGTTAAAATGATAAATGAATGTAAATTAAAATTACAAAAAATAAAAACACTGAAAATGAATTATAAATAATCACAAATATAAATTTTAGTTAATGAAAATTATTAAAAATTCTATTATTTTAAATAAATGTTAATTAAAATTGTAAAAAAAATGGAAAAACTGAAAATTAATTCTAAATAACAGGAAATATAAATAGTAAATAAAAATAATTGGAAATCATATAAAATTACATTATTTAAAATAATTGTAAAATTTTAAAAAGTGAAAAAAGAAAATAGAAAACTGAAAATTAATTCTAATTAACCGAAAATATACACAAAATGCGGAAAAAGATTTTTGTTAATTTGGAAAAATCAGTTTTTTGGACTCGTTTTGTTTCTTTCAAAATAAATTTTTCTTTCATAGAAAAAAGTGGTTTTGGATTAAAAGCAAAATTTCTTTGATTTAAACAAATTTTTTTTTAATTAAGCAAATGAAAATTTTTAACAACTTTTCTTTGATTTAACCAAATAAGAGAAATGTAAACAACTTTTAGTTTATTTAAACATTTTTCTTTGAATACAAAAAATTTGTTCTTTAAGTCAAAGAAATTTTATCATTGATATAGAGTCAAAGAAAAATAATTCTTTAATCGAAAAAGAGTAATTTCTTATTGAAACAAATAAATTGTTTTTGAGTCAAATTAATTTTTTTGATTCAAACAAAATTTATTTGACTCAAAGAAAGTTTATTTGACTTAAATAAATTTTTTTTGAGTCAAATCAATTTTGTTTGAATCAAAAAAATTTTCTTTAAGTCAAATAAACTTTCTTTGAGTCAAATAAATTTTGTTTGAATCAAAAAAATTTTCTTTGAGTCAAATAAACTTTTTTTCAGTCAAATAAACTTTTTTTCAGTCAAATAAATTTTCTTTGAGTCAAATAAACTTTCTTTGATTCAAATAAACTTTCTTTGAGTCAAATAAACATTCTTTGAGTCAAATAAACATTCTTTGAGTCAAATAAACATTCTTTGAATCGAAGAAAAATTAATTTTCAATCAAAGAAACAAGTACAAGTAAATAATTTCTTACATCAAGAAAACTTTTTCTCCCCGATTGTAAATTTCAATATATATTTTAAATAATTTACTCTAAAATATAAAAAAAAAATTCAAAAAAAAACAGAAAAACTGAAAATGAATTTTCTTTTCACAGTTCTTCTTCATATTAAGAAAAAAGAATCAACATGTGTCAACATTACACGTAATTCATCATGGTGTGATGCCTTTTTCCGTATGGATGGGAATGAAGTTTGCACCAGGTGGTCATAGCACATTCTTCGCTCTCTTAAATACGTTCGTTCACATTATCATGTATTTCTATTACATGGTGGCCGCTATGGGTCCAAAATACCAAAAATACATTTGGTGGAAAAAGTACCTCACGACATTGCAAATGGTAAGAATTTATTATTTATTTAATATTCTTTTCATAAACTAAATATACTATAATTGTAAGAAAAAAAAATTAAACGAAAAAAATTATCTCATTATAAATACAAACGCGCATTAAGTACCTTATGTAATAAATATCAATTCAAGAACTCTTCTCTCTTAATGTCCGATGTACTTGAAAAAAAGATCAATTATTGAATGTTGACTTTGATTTTATCGGACTAATTATATTAAGATTGAACTTGAATTGTATTATTAATGCAATCTTATCTCTTCACTCTTTTTTTTAACAAATCTCGCGTGTGAGCTCTTTAATTAAATCTCGTCGGGTGCCAATATTTTTTTATCTCTGTAGGTTGTTGTTCAATTTTTCCATATTAAATCATTTTACAAATCAAATTTCTCGTAATTTTCCATTTTTTTGTTTTGCTTTTTTTTACTTTTTTTTATTTAAAAATTCTTTTCGTATTTTTTTCCATTCACTGTTTTTTATTTTTCTAAGGTATTATTTATTTTCAAAATTTACTTTTTTGAAAACTATTTTCTTATATATATCAAGTTCGGTAATAAAAAAAGTAATTTTTATTTACTTTATTTTTCCAATTTCATTTTTTGAAAACAATTTTCTTTATTTTTTTTTTATTATTTTTTTGAAAGCAATTTTCTTGTAAAAAGTTTGGCAATAAAGAAGAAAGTAATTTGACCTTTACATAGAAAAGATGAAAATTTTTCCTCAAAAGAAAAAAAAAAAAAAAAGAAAGAAAAGAATAATAATTAAAAAAAATAACGTTGCATTTTCGTTGGAATGTCGATGTGACCAATGGAGTTTCAATATTATGCAAATTGACATAAAAATAGAAAGTGATAGGCTCATTATTACACAACCAAGAATGGGGAAAAATAATTTCATAACATCTTCCCGGGAGGAGATCGCATTTTTATAACATTGCCTTAAAGGCGGCATTTGCTCTCTCGTTTACTTTGAGAGTATGGTTTAAACGAGAGCCGGGAATTCCCCGTTGAGATGTTTTGCGTTACGATATCATTTTACAGCCTCTTCTTTAACTATATATACATGTATAACTTTCACTTTCGATGGACACCTCAATTAGAGTCCGTTTCGAGGGCAGGAAAATCGCTCATATGCTCTTCACCTCCTCACAAATTTTTACATAACATCATTGTATTATTAGCAGGGAAAATATTATTTATCTCAATGACCACAAATCAGAGCAGAAAGAAATTTTTCCAAAAGGAAAAAAAATGGTATTTGATAAAATATTTTTTTTTTTTAAATATTAACTAGAACTAATATTAACTATTATTAACTCCAATTGTCGCATTTCCATAATACATATTTTAGTTCATTGAAGATTATATGCTTAAATTAACTCCAATAAGAATTACTGTTCTATTCCTTTTAAATTTAATAAAACTCCTAAAATAGGTAAAAAAACATTTAAAATATTTAATTGAGAATTTCTATTCAGCTGTTTAAATTTCCCGCGCAATTATCTGCTTTAGACAGCAGACTTCGCACTCAATAATTAATTTTAAACAAGTAGCTTTCAAAATAAAAAAAAGTAGTAAAAAGATTGCTATCGAAAAATTAAACTTGACGGACAAAAAAACTAATCTTAATTTTCATAAAAAAAATTTATTTTTTTCTTATCCTGCTAATAAATTGAATTTCTACAACGAATTTTATTATTCATGAAAGAATTTAAATATTTATAAGAATAATTTAATTTTTGCGAAGAATTTTATTAAATTAAATTCTTACGAGGATTTTTACAAAAAAATTTTTAAATTATTGAATTCTGTTTGAAAATTTTGTGAAAATAGTAGATATTGAAAATCATTGAACTGCGAAAAGTTTTTAAAAATAATTAAATTTTACAAAGAATTCTATTAAAACTTTTGACAATAATTAAATGTCTAAGTGGTATTTTATTAAGTTTTTTTGAAAATATTTGAATTTCTAAAAAGCATTTTATTATTTATAAAAATAATTGAATTCTTGCGAACGATTTTATTAGAATTTTTTCAAATAAATAAATTTCCAAGAAGAAATTTATTACTTTTAAAAATAATTGAATTCTTGTGATGAATATTGTTAATTATAAAGATAATTGAATTTGCAAAGAATTTTATTAAAATGCCTCAAAATAATTGAATTTTCAGGAATAATTTTGTTATTTATCTATATAATTAAATTCTTTCGAAGAATTATTTATGTAAATAATTGAATTCTTGGGAAAAATTTTATTAAAATCTAAAAGAACAATAAATTGAATTATTTCAAAGAAATTTAATTAAAAATTGTATTTAAATTAATTGATTTCTTTCGAACAATTTTATTAAAATATTTGAAAATAATTGAATTCCTGTGAAAAATTATAATATTTTTGTAAATAAAAATTGAATTCTTCCAAAGAATTTTAAACAAACATTTTTTTAAATAATTGATTTTTGCGAGGAATTTAAAATTAAATGTTTAATAACAATTACATTTTTTTAAGCAATTCCTGTAAAATTGTATTAAGAATAATTGAAATTCTACGATGAATTGTATTATTTTAAAAAATAATTGAATAGTTGCTAAGAATTGTATAATAAAATTTAAATACTTGATTTCTTTCGACTAATTTTATGCAAATTCAAATTTAAATAATTAAATTCCTGAGAAATTTTTATTATTCATGAAAAAAAATAAGATTCTTACGAAGATTTTTACAAAAATTTTTTTAAATAATTTAATTATTTTTAAAAATAATTGAATTCCTAAAAAGAATTTTATTATTTATGAAAATAATTGAATTCTTGCAAAAATTTTATTAGAATTTTAAATTTTCTTAAATAATTGAATTTCCAAGAAGAAGTTTATTATTTTTAAGAATAATTGAATTCTTGTGGTGAATATTGTTATTTTTTGGAAATAATTGAATTTTGCAAAGAATTTTATTAAAATGCCTCAAAATAATTGAATTTTTGGGAATAATTTTCTTATTCATCGACATACTTGAATTCTTTCGAAGAATTAATTATGTAAATAATTGAATTCTTCCAAAAAATTTTAAAAAAACATTTTTTTAAATAATTGATTTTTTCCAAGAATTGAAATCAAATTTTTAAGAACAATTACATTTTTTGATCAATTCCTGTAAAATTGTATTAAAAATCCTGCGAAGAATTTTATTATTTTAAAAAATAATTGAATAGTTACTAAGAATTTTATTAAAATTTTCAAAAATAATTGAAATCCTGTGAAGAATTTTATTATTTATGAAAAAAATTGAATTATTGCGAAAAATTTTATTAAAATGTTTAAAAAGAATTGAATTTCTGTAAAAAATTTTGCTATTTTTTGAAAATAATTGAATTCTTCATGAGAATTTTTTAAACATTGTTTTAAATAATTAATTTTTTCGAAATATAATAAATATTGTGGAAATTTTATTTTAAATAATTGAATTCTTGTGGAAAACTTTTATTTATAAAAATAATTGAATTTTTCGATTAATTAATATAAAATAGTATTAAAAATAATTGAAATTCTTCGTTGAGTTTTCTTTATTTATGAAAATAATTTAATTCTTGCTTAGAATTTTATTAAAAATATTTTTAAAAAATCAAATTTCCATGAAAAATATTATTAGTGAAAATAATTGAATTATTGTGAAGAATTTGTATAACAATTTTGTTAAATAATTGATTTTTTCGAAATTATTTTGAAAATGCTATTCTAAATTAATTGAATTTCTGTAAAAAATTTTTTTTAAATAATCGAATTCTTATGAGAAATTTTATATGAAAATACTAGATATTGAAAATAATTGAATTTCGAATATTTTTTGAAAATATAATTGAATCGGTTTAAAGAATTTGATTATAATTTTTGAGAATTGGTTTTTGATTTCTAGTATTATTAGCGAATTTAAAGTATAGTGGAAATTCTAAAGAAAACAGAAATAGTAGTTTTTAGTGGCTGAAATTAAATTAAATTCTTTCACAGTTTTTTTAAGGATAACAAAGCAAAGTGAGACAAAAAGGGAATCAAAAGTTTTGCGAAGCAACATTTTTGATTTGTTTTTTGTCTCAATTTGATATCCTTAGAAAAACGGTGAAAAAAAATTCCAATTTAAAAAAATGTGCTTAGTTTCTAGATTCTATTTATCAATAACAATAATTAATTTGATTTTATTAATAAAAAATTTGTTTCTCTTCTTACAGTTCCAATTTGTACTGATCATGACCCACCAATTCCAACTATTATTTACCGAATGCGATTATCCACGTTCATTCATGATTTGGATTGGTCTCCATGGTTTCTTATTTTTGGGTCTGTTCTCTGACTTTTACAAGACAAAATACACCATAGTTCCATTAAAGAGGTCGCATCAAAATGGCATATCTTCAAATGGCGCGTGCATGCCAGTTTTGGACGATCCAATAAAGCCAAAGCAAAATGGCATCTCGTCATATGCCACAATTTACAGTAAAGAATACAATAGTTGTTACAGCAATGGTACCAATAATGGATATGTTGCGAACAATAATACGGAGAAGAAACTTGCCTAAAGGTTGCTCCGTCCCAAAAAAAGAAAAACAAAAAACAAAGCGAGTGAAAAAAGAAAAACAAGTTTCTTTTTTTTTTACTGCGTGTCTCATTTGCTGTGCCACGCATCAAATTCCAAATGGCTGATTCGCACAAGAATGATGATGATGATGATGATGATGATAATGAAGAAGAAGAAATTTCAATATTTAAACGAGCGCTCCTTGCCAATGCCGCGAAACTGCGACAATAGTGAGATGCTCACTTTTTTTGCACATACATTTACTTTTCTTTTTAATTTCCGCAAAGGATTTTTCGTTTTTATCCGCAATTTCTATCTTTTTTTTTCTCTATAAAAGTGTATAAAATAAATTTTTAAGTGAAACGCATTTACGAATTTGCCATTTGTCTAGTCTTGTAAACCAAAATTTTTTTCTTTTTTTTTTAATCTAACGCAACACACCAATAATGTGATGAACAATCTCGTAAATTTTTAAAAGTGGAAAATAATGTAAAAAAAGGCCAATGTCCATTTGGGCTCTTACATTGCAACATATTTTCTCTCCTTTTTTCAATTCAATAGAGCGAAACAAACTATTAAAAAAAATTTTAATAAAAAAAAATGACACTGTCTACTAAATAAATATATTTAATTTCCTTCGACCTCTTTTTTTTTCTCGCCCCGTGGCTGAAAATTGCCTTCAGGCCATTGGAAATTTAAATTTCTTACTTACGACATTTTTCAAACCTGTTGGCGCATTTTTTTAAATATTAATACAACAAATGGTGGGATTTATTCTATCATCAAATAAAATATTCAACTTAAAAATTCTAGACCCTGTGAAAATATTTAGAGTCTTAATATTTTTCCTTTTCCTTGATAAATTCCACAATAGCTCAAAATTTTTTTTTTTTGTAAGTTGATGATGATAAAAATTAATTTCTCGATCTCGTTTTAATTAAAACATTCTTCCTATTGTGCATTTCTCTCTACGGATAAGCTCAAAGTAAAAAAATTCTTTGATATTTATACATGAAATTTTTCTACTGAATAATCGTACGAATAATTTTTAAGTAGATGTCGATTTTACAACTTTAAAAAAAAAAACATGGGCGCTGGCAAGGAACGCAGTTTGAAAAAAAGGGACTGAGAGTGAGCGCACAAGTGAAAAAAACGCGAAGTTCGTAACTTCAAGAAGCTTTTTCCCAAGAGCTCGCCTAATTTTTATTCAGTCATAAAAAGACTATGTTTCTAATAATTGTCCCGAATGTGTTCAAAAAGAAGAAAAAAATACTGAACTACAATCAAAGTGAAATGAGTCCTGTCGATGTAGTTTTTTTTCTTTTTTTAATTATTCCCTCAAAGAATATAATTCCGAATTTGGAAAAGAAACACAAGAATTTTTTTCTTCATTCGAAATTTTTCCCAGAAAGCTAGTAGTAATTTTCCTTCGTTTCTTTTTAAAAAATTCTAAACACTATTTTACAATTTATTTTGTAAAAAAAAATCACTTTTTTGGAAAAAAAGAATAAAATAAAAAATACGTTCGGAAATATTTTTTTTGCTTTTCAAATTTTCAAATAGAAAATAGAAAATAGATTATCTGAAAACTTTTTTTTTAATTTATTCATTTTGTGCTTTTAAAAGTTGAAGAAAAAATTCACATGAGAATTTTCCAAATTTCGAAATTATTGAACACCAATCATCCAAGACAATTGTATTTCGTTTACATTAGTTTTTTATAATTGTAAATTATGAGTTTGGCGGGATTGATATTTATAGTCACAGTTCTCATTCTCATTCACATTTGTGGTTCGGTGGAATAAAAAAAATCATTCGTCGTCACTATGTGATTGTTCGCAAAATATATTGATTCAAATAAGCGCATTTCTTTTTTCAATATCGATTTTTAAAAATCGATTTTTCTCTTTACTATCTCTAAATAATACCGACCAAAAAAAAAAAAATTAAAAAAAAGAAAAAAAAAATGGTAAATATGATCGATTTCACAACGCTAAAGACTAATCTACACGTTGTGATTTAGTACTCTTTGTACACTAGATAGATAAAAAAAAATCCTGTCACTTCTCGAAGGAAAAGAATTTATTCAATCCCAAAAGAATCCCAAAAATATCTTTTTTCATTAAAAAAACAAAAAAAAAATCCGATTCTCTTGAGATTGAAATTTTTCATTCAGCTAAAAGCTCAGAAAATTTATTATTATTATTATTATTATTATTATTATTATTATTATTATTTTTCTTGTATTTTCTAAACTTTTTGCCGATAGGAATTGAAAAAATTTATTTAAAAAAAAAAAACTCTTTTCCTTCGTCAAGAAGAAATAATTGACACGGGTGTTTTCAATGAGAGAAAAAAAACTATATCTAAGCTAAAAAAAATTTGTTTTTATAGTCGTGAGTCTGTATGAAATTTATGTTCCAATATTAAAGCTAGAAAAATAAAATGTTCGCTGAATGCTGGAGAATTATAATAAAAAAGATGGATAAAATTTAAGGCTGTTGAATTGTTAAGACATCAAGATTTTTCTTTTTTTTTTGGAATGATTAGTTAAAAGGAAGGGGTGAAAAAAAACTTGTAACTAAAATGAGGCTGATTCCAAGTAAAAGTTGAGATTTCGAGCGTTCAACATTTATTCCAGATTTAAATAAAATTCCACTTTATAGAATGTTTAATGCGAATGTGCGAGAACATAATATCTTCAAACTAATATCTTCATAATTGCAAATATTTCAAAAATATTGCAAATTATTATAAAAGAAAAATAAAAAAAAAATATCGAAATAATTCAAGAAAATATAATAATGTCGGAAATATTTGAAATATTCTTTAGCGCATTAAAATGTGAAAATATTCAAATATTAAGATAAAAATTAAAATGTAAAAAATACGAGAAAATATTGAAATATGACGATATAAAAAAACGAGAAAATTATATTAAATATTAGATTATATGAAAATATGAAAATATGAAAATATGAATTTATGAAAATAGGAAGATATTAAAATATTAAAATATTAAAAAATACTAGAATATTAAAATACAAAAATGTGTTAAAATAAGAAAATAAAATTCGAAATTATAAAAATAGGAAAATATTGAAATATGAAGATATTAAAATAAAGATTTCGAAAATAGAAGAACATAATGTTTGCAAGTGAATGTGTAATTTTCGAGTGAGTGGAATATGCGCCTTTTTGCGATAAAAAAAAAAGAGAGAGACATGAACACAAGCATCTTCTTCGTGTACCTAACGTTAAACTCTGCAATGATTAACGATCCTCATTATATTTTTGTACATATAAACAATTGGGGAGAATAATGAAAATATAAAATCGATAAGAGTCCTATTCTACGTTGTTTATTATCAAGAACCTTAGACGTTCTTTTTAGAACACACTAAATGTAAAAAAAAAAATTATTTATAAATTTTAGAATTTGTAGAAAAAAAAACATCAACAAAAAAAAAACATTCGAGTTTGTAAGCCTGACAATTTTGCTCTTTATTTTTTCAAAGAAAAAAAAAACTAAATAAAAAAAAACTGGAGCTTCTTTGTACGTTTATTTTTACAAACTGCTTATAAAAGTCACATACTTTTTGAGTACTAAAAAAAAAAAAAAAAATTTAGTACAAAAAACTAAAAAAGAAAATAATGTAGCTTTAGCGGAAAATTGCTCATTTTTACCATTAAACTTTACTATTTCCGCTTTAAAAAAAACAAAAAGGAAAGAAAAAAAAATTTATGTATCTTTGAGATATATTTTTCGATTTATAATCATGTTATTAAAACCAATTTTTGTAATTTATTGACTCCTACGTGTAATTATAAACGTCGCTTTTTATAAGTGTCAAAAAAGTAATAAGCAGAATGTACATCAATTAAAAATTTTTTTTTTTTAGTTTTAATGTTAAAATTACAATGAGATACTTTGAATTATTTCAGTAATTCACTTTTTTTCACCTTAAAAAGACCGTCAATTTTTTTTTCTTCTGCTTCTATTCACAATTACAGAAGCAATTAATTTGAAAATTTTTTTGCCGATTCATGTAATCGGAAATTTTTATTTAAAAAAATTGATAGATAGAATATTGTAAATATTAAATCATTATAAAAAATGTGAAAATTGTTTTTAAAAATTTCCAATGTTGGAAAAATGCAAATAAGGACTATTTTAGTATCAAGTTAAAAAAATGAATTGTTACCACTCAATGGAAATTGAATAACGATGATGCAAATTAATTTTTTTTTGTCAGGAAATATTTCAAAAATCTGCAACTTTATTATTTTTTCATTAAATCATTATCTTTGCTACTTATTGGCAAAGTTCACGTCTATCGTCAATAATTTAGAAAAAAAAATTTCTAAACAATTTTATTTTTATTTTTAATTAAAAATTTGTTCTAAAATTTTTCATTTTTTTTTCATTTTTTTTTTATTTATTATTTTATTTATTTATTTATTTGTATTATGTTTTAAAAAGATAAATTTGTTGACAAACAAATTTGATTATTTTCCGAGTGAAAAATAATTTTTTCCTTCGATCGTTGATTATAAATGTTTTGAACTTCACCGATGTTCTTTAAAATAGACATTAATAATTATTGTAGGTAAATTATTATCATTGTCTTTGTCAATAGGAAATATTACAAAAATATTTAAATTTTTATTTTAACTTTAATAAATCTAAATAATTAATAGAATAATAATTTAGATAAATTATTTAATTACATTATTATTTACTACAATAATAATATAAACGAATAAAAATAATAATTCTCTTTGTCAGTTGAAATATTGCAAAAATATTCAACATTTTTTTATTTTTTCATTCAATTATTATTAACTTTAATAATCGCAAAAAATTAGTATATTTTTGTAATTTCTATCAACAGAATAATAAAAATGATAAACAATTATTATTATTATTGTCTTTTTCAGCAGAAAATATTTAAAAAATAATAAACTATTTTGATTTTTTAATTCAATTATTAACTTTAATGAACAAAAATAATTAATAAATTATTTATATTATTGCTGTTAAGACAATAATAAAAGTTATGATTGTTTTTGTTGGTAGCATATATCAAAAATATTTGTAAACATTTGAAAATTTATTTTTGTTAAATTATTATTTTTTATAAACGTAAAAAATATTTTATAATATTAAGAATAAAATATTTTTCTTAAAATTTTTATTAATTTTTTTTTATTATTGTGAAAGACCACGGTACAAATAATAAATAAATAAAAATTTAAAATAGGAAAGCCAGCAGTAGAAACAATTTTTTAAGAAAAATTGCAAAATTTGCTTAAAACGAAAAATTAGTTTACTGGAAACTTGTCACGAAAATAACAAAATATTTTCATTTGTCATTTATACAATTTGAAACTCTCGACATTAGTCAAAATTTAAAAGGTGTGAGAGAAAATTAGATAATGACTCAGGTGATTTTACTTGTATATATCTGTGCATGTATAAACACTCAGACGAATATCTCCCAAAAGTACAGATTACACGTCATAGAACCAACTTATTTCAGTGTCGTTATCACTGCCGAGACAAACGTCTCGCTTTTTTTTTAACTTGTGATTTATCTCGAGTCAGGAACTAGTTCACCTGTCGACACGTGTGATTTTTTTTTCTCTTTTTTTTAAATTAAAAAATTATAATTTATATTTAGGCAAAAATGCAATAAGAACTTCCGGCAGAGTAGAAAATTAATAACAATAAAAAAATGAAATAATTTAAAATGAACTAGAAAAAAATAATTGAGACAGAAATGAAATCAATATTTTACAGGAAACTTCTTCTAAGGAAAATTATTATTCTTCACATGACACGAATTTGAGTTGAATTATTAAAAAAAATTTTAGCAGTGAATTTTAAAGTTTTTTTTTTTTGTTTGAAATAATTCTTTGTTATTTAAAATAAATTTTTGTTTGTATTCAATCATCAAAATGATTATTTTAATTATAAAAAATATTTTTTATGGGAAAAGTTAAAGTGTTTGTACAAAAAGAGTTCTTCGTAAGAAAATTCGATTTAATTTATAAGGTAAGTTCTTCACTTATTGTATAAAGTTTATCAGATTTTAATTTGTTTCAAGAACTTGCGTATGTATAAATGTAAATAATTCTAATTAATCAAAATAGAATGTAAATAATATAGTATTTAAATGCAAGTGCTTACCGATATAAATTGAAATAAGTTTACGAATACAACATCCAATTGAAAACAAGAACCAGGAAAAAAAGA